CTTTCTCCACTGCTGCCCTGAGGGAGAGCCGTGCTCTGTCCACGGCTGCCCTGAGGGACCCACGTGCTCTCCACTGCTGGCTTGATGGAGAGCCGTGCTCTGTCCACTGCTGCCCTGAGGGAGAGCTGTGCTCCGAGTTTTTTTGGTGCTTAAATCCACTTCTGGATGAAGGCCCACCGCACGCTGTCTGAGTGGATCGTAAGGATTTACTTGACTAGTCTGTTGGGGGCCGCCACACGCTGTGGTTGTTAGGGGGTGCCGCAGGCTGTGGTTGTTCAGGGCCGCCGCAGGCTGTGGTTACTACTATAAGCCAAGAATGTGCGTGTGTCCCGCACGTGACGTCACTCCGCATGAGGCCCACCCTCCCGCGTGATGTCACTCCATATGAGGCCCACCCCCCCTCATTAATATTCATGAGTGGGTGAATTTTTACATGAACGCAGAGGATGGTCGTGCTGAATTAAATAATTTATTATGCAAAGTCGCTTCAAATATGACGTTTCTTTATAGAAAGTGACGGTAAAAAAATAAATCTAAGCAGCAGTGCTTCATCCGTGCGTGACGTCACTGCAAAAGAGCCCCCCCCTTCATTAATATTCATGCCCGCGTAGAAATCTACACTGACGCACAAGGTCGCACACTCCACATGCCCCCCCCCCCCTCATTAATAATCATGAGCTGATAAATTTTTCTATTGAATATTTCAGATTTCCTGCAATATACACCCGTCCTTGGACGGGCAAAAAAGCTAGTACAGTACAAACATAATAATAATATGTTACACTCAAGCCAATATGCCAACCAAATTTTCTATGCAAATATATGGCATTTCCTCATCACATTATTGTCCAAATTTTGTACTATTTTATTACCCAAATTATAATTTTCCTTTAAATTTCTGCTTTCCCATATTCTATGTACCTCGTAGTGTCTTGGTTGTAACGTAAGACTTTTGGCCGAGTTTTAAATAACTGCACTATCACTCAGAACATGCAAAAAAATATCATATAACATTCTAAATATACCACCAGTTGCACTGTGCTTCCAAAATATAAGTTTTTTCAATTACAAAATAATATTTAAGAGCTTCGCGTTTCACAGCCAAATCGTTACCTGCACTGTAACAAATCTTCAATAAAATTTTCGTGACTTAAAATTTTCGTGACTGCAGAAATTAATATTCTCTGGTTCTTTCGGTAAAATCACGTAGATATAAAATAATGAAATAATAATAATAAATTCAATAGAACCCCCAAAAGTTATGACGTTTCGATCGCAACACAAGCGGTCGTCATCCGCTTGTGTTTATTATTTTTATTATTTTTAAACTAGATTCTAAGCTTTTTATTTGATACTTTTCTATCTACGTGACTTTACCGAATGAACCAAAGAATATAAATCTTAAATTAATTGGATTTGCCATGCTTCTATAATCTACTTTAATGCTAAACTGTGCATTATAAATAAAGGGTTATATGAAGCCTAAAACTCTGAAGCCTTTCAAATTAGAGTATGCGGATATACCACAAACTCAACTACTCATTTTAGAAAACATGAAACCTCGCATGAATCTATTAAAAATATGTGCATGCATGTGATGCCCACATACTTCCATAACCTTGTATCAAGTTACAAGAGGTTATAAACCCTCGACAGCTGCAGCCTGTATTATTGGAACGCATCTTGACTCCACTTGTGTTAGTATTGCTCTGAATTTCTAAAATATGTCTCTTTTGTTGACATTAAACCTTTTAAATGGGTAGGCTTGTTCTACTGGTTTGACCCTGCATAATGAGTATTAGTGTGACTTTAATAAGTCATTAAAGTACTCCCATCATAAGACATGGGCGTAGTAATACACTACATTTGCCAAATGCGTCCATGTAACAAAAAATACACATTTCAATTGGTTACTGTTCGAGGCAATGGACGTTCTATCGAAATCAATTAATTGAAATGTTACCTTTATTTGTATACACAGTACTTGGTAAACATTTTAGGTTGTTTGTGCAAAAATGTCACAGTATTTCCTTAATTCGAATTTTTTAAATGTGCATACACTCTATACAATGTTGTTTTAAATTCCGCACTGTTAGAAGTTATTTGGTGCATTCTTGTTCATGTCAACATTATTTGTTGAACGTTCCTAAGACGGTATACACTGTAAGGCCACTTTATTTATGCAACTACCTCTATTATTTGCACAATCCTACAGCATGGCCAGCAACGTTGTATACACCTCTGTCCATGCAATTCAAAAGGACAGTTGCCTACATTTGAAATAAAGTAAAGTGATTTATTAATCGATTAGAGAACTACATTTGGCACTGTAATCAATCTTTCGTGAAAGCACTTTTAAACGTAGAGTCTTAAATATGCGAAAAGAAAATGCGCTAAGCAACAGCTGTTGCAACAAAAGTACATTGTGCATTCTAAGGGTTTCAGGTATAAATGCAGTTGAATGCCCAGCTGTGTTTGTGTGTGTGAATGTGGTCACAATGTGCTGGCCAGACTTGTAAACGTACCTACCAACAACGTCCCTTCAATATTTTTACATGTTAAGCAGATAACATCTTAATGGAAACAATTTTGTTCCACTTCCATATATTAACAATTCACCAAAAACCTTGGTCCCCCTTGCAAGAATCAGTGTTTCATGTGTCCCAATGGGTCTATTTCATCTGCTGGTTAATTAAAAGGATACAAAATAAAACCACCAAATTCATGTATGAAAAATTAAAAGTCGTACACAATGCCCTGGCTACAGTAATTCATCGATAAAGTTTACAAGTCAGTTGATCAACGTCAAAACTGACAGACTTCAGTGTGGATATTGGCAATGTTTCATACCAATTGTGGATTGGCAACAATTTAATTTAAAATAACAAGCCAGCAACTAAACACTCCGCTAATTAAAAATTCCCTCCACGCGGAAATTCCGTGTTCCTATGGCTCGGGACATGTCCTGCCATGGACAAGATAAACAATATACAGTGCAAGTCGTGCAGTATTATTATTCCACCTACTCAAGACTATTCGTGCCACACTTAAGTGCAAAGTGGAATGCGAATCCTGCATTCTAATAAACAACAGATGTACAACATTACAGTCCAGGACTCGTCGTAATACTGTAACGAGTTCAGGACAGTAATATCATAGCAATGCTGTACTAATCGCTGTACGGGCACACAATACAAAATAAATGCACACATTGTAAACTTATGCAGGAGTGTAGCACTGTAGCATCAGCGAGAAAGTAAAACAAGACCGCCGTATCGTCATTATTGCTATAACTAGAGTACTGTTGACAAGTACACTGCATATCGGACAGCTACATCACCAGTGCAGCATAGTTAGAGCACAGAGTAAACATACAATGATTAAGTAGCAGACATTATCAGACAGCCACACTATATTACTCGTGCCTGTAGTATGGTGCAATCCGTATTAGGCAGCTACAACACATCACTTGCGCTGCATTACAATAAGTACTGCACTAATAACCATATAATAGGCACTAAAGTGATGCTGTTAACATGTTAAGTACATTGTTCACGTTGAACATACTACAGTACACCACTAGTAATACATTAAAGTAAACAATAAGCATTATGTTGACGAGTTAAACTCCTGTTAGATCCAGTCATGGTGCACTACAGTACTAATAGTTACACACACGACATCACTATTGCTACATCACAACACGTACACAAGGTGCAAAGCTATAGACACATCCCCGACACCAGTAATGTATTACAAGAGGCAGCATGCTGAATTGTGACTAGTTAGGAACGAAACATCGTCACCGCTAGCTGCTGCACGAGTTGACAGCACCCGAAGCAATCACTGCAACTCACTGCAACATTTACAAACAAACTAAAACCTCAAGTTTTCTTATGCTTCGTCGTGTGAACGAGTACAAATGTAAACTCAATTGTAGCATAACCTTAAGTTGTACAGAAGCGCTTCAGTGACAAACATCACACACACACATTTGGTGTCAACAAAGCAAGCGAGTCAGTCAGTCCGGCGTGCGCGTCCAACCCAACAAACTCACCACCAATAATTGGTGTTTTACCCTTTTATCTGGCAACAAAACTGACACCTTTATAACAAGGAGTCATGTTTGCATTCACCACAATACAAACAAAAAACACAACTCTGATAATGTATGCACTGTCATTGAAGTTGATTGGTCCACCGCCGAGACAGCTTTTCTTAGAGCCTAGTCTCACATGGTGTTGGACCAGATGACGCCAAAAGGCGCACAACTCAAAGACAATGAACCATCAGAGTATGAGAGCTCGGGGTGAAGCATTTACACCATTGGAACCTCCTCTGCCAGCAGCAAAATATGATCATTTATTTTTTTACCCTTTTATCTGGCAACAAAACTGACGCATTTTTTACAAGGAGTCATGTTTGCATTCACCACAATACCTGCAGTCGGAATGCAAACAAAAAACAGAACTCTGATCATGAAATTGATTGGTCCACCCCCTAGACAGCTTTTCTTAGAGCCTAGTCTCACATGGTGTTGGACCAGATGACGCCAAAAGGCGCACAACTCAAAGACAATGCACCATCAGAGTATTGAGAGCTCGGGGTGAAGCATTTACAGAGACCTCCTTTGCCAGTAGCAAGGTATAGTAAAAGGTTTTTACCATTTTAACTGGCAACAAAACTGACACCTTTATACAAGGGATCATGTTTGCATTAACCACAACACTTGCCGTCAAAATGTAAACAAAACACACAACTCTGATAATGATATGCACTGTCATTGAAATTGAATGGTCCACACCCGAGACAGCTTTTCTTAAGAACCTAATCTCACATGGTGTTGGTCTAGATGACGCCAAAAGGCGCACAACTCAAAGACAATGCACCATCAGAGTAATGAGAGCTCGGGGTGAAGCATTTACACCATTGGAACCTCATTTGCCAGTAGCAACGTATGATAATTATTTTTTACCATTTTATCTGGCAACAAAACTCACCATTCAAACGCTCACCGCCATCACCGCCACCACCGCCGCCACCAGTCAACTACCCCGTGAGTCTCCCTCCCCACGGGAGGTCGAGGAGGAACGAAGCGAGGCCGGGAGACGAAGCTGAAGCCGCCGCCGTCGCCACCGCCACTGCCTCTTGCCCATGGGGGCCTCGCCGTCACCTGCAGCCCCCAGGTGTCGCCTATGGGGGGTGGTGGAGGCGTGGCTCGTTGCGCGTTAGCAAATCGCCCCCAGGGCGCGATGCTTACGCGGCAAATGCCCGGGCACCGCGGTCGCCGCAGTGTGAGGAGCGCCCCCAGGGCGAGTTGTTTACTTGAAGCGGAATCCGGCTGAGAGGGGGAGGGGGGCGGTCCATGACGTCACGGTGACGTAAGTTGTAAACCCCAGTGCTGTGATTGAAGGCGCGGATCGATTCGTCGATTCATAAAGTAATCGATGCGTTCACGGTTCTCTGATATGGAATCGATTACTTTAAATCGATTATGTGTTAACGAATCTAGAATAAGTGTCAACGATATGCTTACTTAAAAATATATCCAATGCCGGTGAGAATCGATTATTTTTCGATTCGATTACTTGTAGTAGCGGCTTACAGACACCGTCGTCAGCTGTGATCGATCCACTGCTGGATGAAGTTCCTCCTCCTCGCCACGTGACTCTCTCTCAGGATCAATGTGAATCTTTGTATAGACTTGAGGATAAATCCGATAAGCTACTAAGCTCTTCCCCCCATCCCACAGATGTCCAGTATGGGCTGGCCAGCAAGTTGCAATAGCAAACGATACAAACAAACGTAGCGGAGATTCACGATCCTGCCATGGAATAATCCATCCAGCAGCTGCACCGACGAGGCGTTTCCATCCATTGGGCTGCCCACCGTCATCATTCTTGACATATTCTTAGGTTTTTTACGGTAAAGTCACGTAGGTAAAAACATCAAAATTAATGAAAATAAAACAAAAAATCACGACGTTTCGGAGGCAACAAAACGTCGTGATTTTTTATTTTATTTTCATTAATTTTGATGTTTTACCTACGTGACTTTACCGAAAAAACCTAAGAATATGAATCCTTGCAGTCACGAAAGCTTCAAATCTAGAATCATTCTTGACCCTCTGCCCATCGTCCCGTTCATAATCCAGGGTCCTTCACTTAATAGGAACTCAATAGGCTCTTGAATCGTGGTAACTGGTGGGATAGAATTAACGGAGTGACTCATTGCAGGTGGTGCCAATGAGTCATGATTGACGAGACGACAGGATGAGGCTTTTCAGATGCCCTGCTGCGTCATTGCCATGCCCTCCCTAGCCAAAGAGTAATCAAGTGTACCCATACCTTAGCATTGGGAGTGGCCCATTACGCAAAGCAGCCCCGAGTGAGTGAGTCATCTCGGTCATCTCGGTCAGTCGACTCGTAGCACCTGCTGGGTCTGCCCCGTGACCTCCTCCTGCCAGCGGGCGTTCGACACTTCACGTGGTAGCCTCAAGGTGCACTTGGCCTGGCACAAGCGTCGTGGTGACGTCACCGCCACTTAGTGGCGAATGGCGGTTGTTGTTGGATTTATAGAATCGCATCACAAGGATCGTGATGAATGGGAATGGCTCGTGGAGGTCTTCGTCCAGCAGTAGGTTGATGATCGTGGCTGATGATGAATGATCTACTCTGTGGACTGTGGAGATGTCTAAGTACAGGAATGAGTGGAGCAAGAGGGGCATGAAGGAAGACCACACACGAGTGGGAAAATGCCAGGAACAAAAAACGACATCCTGTCCTCTCATAGGGGAAAGCCCGTGTTTATCTAAAGGGGCCGTCCATAAATGACGTCACGCGATTTTTGACCCCCCCCACCACCTCGTCACACGGCGTCACAAAAAGTCAGACCCCCCACCCTCAAATATGACGTCACAAAGCTCTGCCCCCCTCCTTCCCCAAAACCATATTTCCATTTTGAAAATTAAACATACTTCAAATCGCTTTAAAATATTGTCATTGTGCGTATTTAATGTGGTGCTGCACTCTGATGTTGTAGGAGAAAACATTTATTTAAAAAAGTATATTTAATTAAGTAGAACGTGTTGTCTATATTTATTTAAAGTTTCGCATTTTGATGTGACGTCACATTTCTCACCCCCCCCCCCCCTCTCGTCACACATCGTCACAAATGTCTGACCCCCCCCCCTAGGTGCGTGACGTCATTTATGGACGGCCCCAAAAGCCTTGTTCGCAAATCTTTAAATTATCTTCTTCAACTTTATTGAAATTGTGCTCTTGGCGTTGAGAAGAACCCATACGGAAATCGCAGAGAAGCAAACCACACTCTTTCTAAGAATGAAAGCAGACATCATAGAACTGCTTTTGATATACAGTACCTTCAAGTGACCGATTATTATTTACATTATATGGAGCACTTTTCCAAACACCCGCTGCAAATGAGTCTGGTTGCATCAAAGTTGACCGATAATTTAAATTCCCACTGGAAATAACCAAATTAATTTGAAACCGCAGAATTAATTTTAATCGGTGCTTTAAGAGTCATTGGTAATTAAGGTTACCGTGATATATTTTTTATTAAAAACTACGATCGCGAAATTCATATCTTACGAAAGTTAACCAAGGTTGAGAATCACAAATATTTTAAATGACCACAGGGCGGCAGCATACGCATTACAGTGGTGTAATATGGTAGCTACAGCGTTTGCTATGGCAAGTCCATTGGCTCTTGGCAGTCTCCCACTTTGTGTAATCTGGTTATTTATTCCCGATACATTTAACAGCATACGCTAGGAAACACGTTTCCACACAACGTTTCGTATTACTGTGTAGGTTTACGTGAGTGTGCCGTGTAGGTTTCCAGTATTTTTGTACCACATGTTTTTAGGCAAAGTGTCCAACATTTTGCTCCATGTGCCTGAGAGTTTCTAAAAAGGCAGACATGCCGAAAAACTGAATTCAGTTCCTGAAGAAGGTCCTACTGCGTGGATAGAAACATCAGAGGTCATGCCGGTACAATCCAAAGGACATCGGAGAGGAAACGTTTGCAAAAGTTGTCAGGAAAATTTTAAATCTGCCACATGACGACTGACAAAGGCTCGCAGAATAACCAAAGAAAATATATTTCTCACACTTAAACATAAAGCATACACGAGGATACATCTTCCTTGCAAATTCCATCTCTAACCCCACCCTTGGGTTGTACCTATCTCAAACCTATATAACCTTCGGCTGCAGGAGGTCTCTCGCTATATTTCTTCCTAACTCAGCAGTCCGCCTGCTGTATTTTTTCACCTGAAGACGATTGTTTGTGTTGCGATCGAAACGTCGTGATTTTTTTCTTATTTTTTCTATCTACGTGACTTTACCGAAAGACCCAAAGAGTATGCATTGCAGCAGTCACTAAAGCTTTTTTAAGTCAAGATTTCAACTTCAAATGTCAAATTAGCGACATCTAGCGACTGTTTGGGGTTTAATCTGTTTGGGGCTATGAATGTGCGGCAGAGCCAGCCAGGCTCGCTAATTAAGAGGATGAAGAGCAAGATTTTGAGCGATGGCTTGGGCAGAGGGCTTACTCGTGGGGCAAGGATCAGTTTCACCTCGTGTTTTGAACTCTTAGGGATTGCCGCATGTCATCGTTTTTATAACGCGAGTTACCTGAATTAAAGTTCTGCCCATTTGGGCCAAATAGAAGAGAGCCTATTCTTTGGTTCTTTAAGGTAAAGTCACGTATAAAGATAACATAATAAATTAAATTAAATACTAGCATACGACGTTTCGATTGCAACACAAGCAATCATCATCAGGTATAAATTATATCACGTATAAAGATAAAATAATAAATTTAATTAAATACTAACATACGACCTTTCGATTGCAACACAAGCAATCATCATCAAGTATCGAAACGTCGTATGCTAGTATTTAATTTAATTCATTATTTTATCTTTATACGTGACTTTACCGAAAGAACCAAAGAATAATTCCTGCAGTGCACGAAAGCTCCAAATTAAGCTAGAAGAGAGCCTGTGTGGCTAGTTGTTCCATCCCTGGCCCAATATTACACTGAGATGTCCTGAGTGGGCCACTTAACATGCGAAAACCCTCATTGCCTCTTGCCACTCTGAGGCCAATTACATTGGTCAACACACTTTTTCTGGCATAAGGTATTCCAACGGTTTGAATGTAATTTTGGGGTGCTGATTCCAAATCTGGCATTCAGTTTTTGTCTATCACATCAGGTTTTTGAGATATCAAATATTGCATTTTCAATAAAAACTGCAGAAGAAAAAATATTAAATAAATGTGGATATCTAAATAAATTGATATTATAAACACACTATCCTAAAAATACAGCACCATATTTTAACACTAAAGCAGTCACTGACTCGCAACAACTTGCAATCATAAGTGACAGAGTTAATTTCGGGTAAAATCAATGAAAATTGGGTATGCCGATAGCATAAAATGAGATGTGATAGAGCAAATCTGAGATCAGATTTGGAATCAGCACCCTTGAAATTAGTCTAGAACAGCTGCAAAAGTCCAGGCCAGAATTTTTTGTTGTTGTTGACCAGTGTTATAATAACTTCAAAGTTGATCGTTGCTACGTAACTTTTTTATATTATTTGTTGCCTATGTCGTACAAAATGCACTAGCTCCGAAGCTAATCAGGGTTAAACTTAGTGCTTCAGAATACGTGTTACTTGCGTTGTGACGACCAGAGGGCATTGGAACGCCGTCATATGCATGGGATTCAATAGGTACTCTGGGTTCTTACGATTCATTATTTAGTGAAGCCTAATACTCATACTCTTTGGTGTTATTCGGTAAAGTCACGTAGGTAAAAAAATATATATAAAATAAAAATGAAAAACAATTACATTTTATTTAATTTTTTTACCTACGTGACTTTATCTAACAAAACCAAAGAGTATGGATTCTTGCAGTCACGAAAACTTCAAATCTAGAAAGCCTAATACTTGATAATGGAATTTGTCCGAATGTACAATGTTATGACCCCCATGAGCAAAACTGTTGATACTTGGCCAAGCCTTCCAATTTAAATAAGTGATCAAATGTGCGTGGCATTACCACGTCAGAGGGTGGGGGCTATTATAATGGTGCTTGCTCAGAGCTGGTCTGACCACATTTGCTTCCACAATAGAAGTGTCCCATAAAAGAACGATTACACAGCACCGTCAAACCCACACGGGCTGACCAAGCCTCGGGAAACACTGGTAACTACACCCTTGTAATTCTAAACGTGCTGTGTATTCAAATTGTTTTGTACAATCATGTCCTTTCTGAACTTGAGGCTAAAATAATTAGCTTTGTCTGTATGGCTAATTTTCCATGTCTTAAATGTTACTCTAATATTTAGCCTCATGCATTATACAGTACATTGCTTTTATACTACAGTTGTGTATTTTCTGTATAGGACAAGATTGTATGTGCCAGAATGTCTAAAATTAATCCTTGCGCTCCAGGCATTTTACTGGATTAAATGTTACCAACATTCTTCATGCTAAGGTAGATCCAGTACAGACAGCACTGCAGACATTTTGTCCATTCAAAAAGACAAAAAACACGTCATGTTTAAAGAATGTATGACAATAAGGTAAACACTTAAATCTCAGGATATAAATACGTATACATCCTAAGTTACAGTAGCGCTTAATGTCAAGTATTGTACATGTGCCCTTGCTTTGTTTTCAATATTTAATGGTCTGCAAAAATACTGTAAGAAATCTGATCACACTGCTTCATGCATAGTTTGTTTTGTAGATAACGCCAGTTTGGTTATGCATCCACATGTAGTATTTTCAGAACGGTTGTTTAGAGGTGGCGTTTCCAACATACTTCCTTTCTAAACACATCACATGCGCACAACTAGTTTGTGCTTATGCAAAAAAAATTGCTCAAAAACAAATCTTAGCTTCTCGTTACCTGCATGCGTTATCCGCGTTCCTTTTCGTTTAGCGGACAGGGATGGGTTTTCAATCGACTGCATTTCACCTCTGCAGCTCCTCAATTCAAACAATTCATAGTGTTCACATTATGCAAATATATATATATATATTCCAGTTCACATTGGAAAGAGGCCGCCAGCATCTTTACAAATGTCAAATCTGTAATCGCGGAGCTGCTGAATGTGAATAGCGACGGAATTAAAACGAATCGCAGCCCGCAAACCACGACGCGTGGAAGTGGGTGGCCCAAACGCGGCGCTGCAGGTCTCACAGAGGTATATACATTTACTTTTGTTTATTTTGCGACTTTTTTAGCAGACAATTATTTTTGTGTTTCTTAGACTTGGGTATCAAGTCTGAACAAATGCAACTAAATATGTTTTACATAGACCCACGTGGCAGACGTGCACCAATTTAGCCGCTAGTCACATGCCCACACTGCCCCTATAATCCGCAATATTTTCGCGGATTAATGGTTACGTGTCGGTACGCAAACTCATTTCTGCGGCACGGAATGCAGGTATCTACAAAATAGTCCCCCCCCCCCATATCACCAGACAGTATTGGAGTCCTGCTATACCTACTATAATCACACAGGAATGTCTGTCCTTATGGTCGTGACGTCATTCACACATCGACCAGCCCCCCCTCATTAATATTCATGAGCAGGTGACATCCTACAAATGGACACTCCCCCCTCCATTCATAATAATTCGCAGCTGACGTCACTCCACATGGGGGGTCGAGGCGCCTCCTCCCCCCTCCTCGACGTCAACTCACAACCCTCACTACAAAGGCAGAACCCTCACGTCATCACGCGATCTCCGTAACGCTGTTGAGACATCGAAGTAAAAAATTAACCCGTAAAAAAAAGTTTTTCACTATAAATCCTTTATATGCGTGGCATCGGTTTTATTTTATTATTCATTTCTGTTTTTCCTTGAGTAAGAGTTTCATTTTTATCACATTGGTATTTTAAATTAAATATGAAATTGGTTTTTTTTCCTAAAAAGTGGAAAATTTTGGGAAAAAAATTTCACGAAAATAAATTGTCACGCACAACGAGTCTGTGTGCAAAATGTCAGCTCGATTGGATCACGGGAAGTGGGTTAAAAAACGACCGAAAGATTTGCACGGTCGTAAGCGCGCAAGCAAGCAAGCAAGTGAACTTAATATAAAGGATTAAAAAAGGACGTCATGATGAACAAGGAATTATAACACTTAACTGAAATAGGTCTGTGTCACCGCGCCCTTACAAATTGCACACGCATTAATGCAATGAATAATCACGTCGCGGTCTGCTTTTCGCTTGCAAGTTTCAGATTTACTGCAATACACCCGTCCTTGTATGGGCAAAAGGCGAGTATTAATATAGTAGTTGTTATTGGCAGATCATATTACAGATTGTACTTTATTTGTACATATTGGAGGAAATCGCTCTTCATATTCGTTTGTTTATCCATAGAAAAATGCAGATAACACCATTGATTTTATCCCACTTTCTGGTTACTCATCCGACATGTATGCATACTGCGAGACTGCGTCTGGGTGACTTTTCTGTGGAAGAATATAAATACAGTACTTTAATATTGTCAGCTTCAAACATCTTCCACGTGACTCCATTTGTCCGTGAAAAACACAGATACTGAATTATGATGAATGTAACACTTGTGGAATGTTTTCAGGTGACATTCGCAGAGATAATAGGATTAATTTTCTGGGGCCATGGTTAACAATATTAGTAATATGGCTGTAGAAAAGAGAAGTGTCACTCGAATAAAATCCACACGTACACAATATATGCTTCAATTGGACAATAAAATATATACCAATGTGCTTATAGATGAAAGTTTCCAATCAGTGCCTACTGTCAGCTATGCATTATGGATAAAAAGCAACAAAAGCCGACAATTGTGCAAAGCATTCTTGGAATTGCACCCAGAAAACCAAAAGAATACATATAAATAATATCTCATATTCACACTTAAGTGCAGGAAATCGGCTTGGCCAGGACACGTGGCTCGAAGGGATGATGGCTGATGACTAAACTGCTGATGAAATAACAGTCAAATGAGAGAACATTACTAAAAAGAGATGGAGCAATGAGATCGTCTAATGAAAAAAATTAACCCGTAAAAACAAAGTTTTTCACTATAAATCCTTTATATGCGTGGCGGCTAGAGTCCTCTCGTCCTCTGGCTTGAGATGGCTGCCACCTATGGGTCAGATGATTGTCTGCCAGCATTAAGCAATTGGTAATTAAATATTTTAAAAAATTTCCCTAAACAGTGTAAAACATTTTCACGAAAATTAATTGTCACGCACAACGAGTCTGTGTAGAAAATGTCAGCTCGATTGGATCACGGGAAGTGGGTTAAAAAACGACCGAAAGATTTGCACGGTCGTAAGCAAGCAAGCAAGCGAACTTAATATAAAGGATTTAAAAAAGAGAGATGGATGTTGGCATTGGAAGACCGAGACGGACGGTGACAGCACGCGTAGGACTTCATCGAGCAGTGGATAAGCAATGGCTGATGATAAAGAGAAGCATCTTGAGTTCATCATCATTATCAACCATGGTCAATCTGCTGCTGGGTGAAGGCCCCCCAAGCAATCACCAGCTAACAGACCTGCAGAGCAACCATTCATCTCGCACCTGCACACGAGCCGATTTCATCACTTCATGTCCTTTCTCGTGATGTGTCCTGGCCAAGCCCACTCCAACTTTACTGTTCTCAACAATTTGAACGGCTGCGTGTTGTTAACCTGAATGTGTTTTGTAATCGATGCGTTCTTCTTTGTCCCTGAATATAATTCAAGCGTTCATCTGCCCACGCTCGTTTACGCACACTTACATTTTTTGTTGACTATTTTCCGTTCATGATCTGCATGGTTCTGAACCACGTGGCATCGGCACATTGCGACGTTACTTTTTTTTATAATAACGTTCAGCAATACAAAAGTACTCCAACCTGTTCTCGTCCATTTACAGTAATTACTTTTGATGGCAGTCGACCTTCAGTAGCTGTCATAGGTACACATTCTGCAGTTTTTTACGTGTCCAACGTACGGATCTATCTTATTAGTGAACTTGTAATACGGTAGATCACCTTTGTTTTCTGCTCATTTATCCTGTACCCAACTTTGCAGTTGTTCTAACATTACCTAACGTTGTTCAACATTGAGTTAAACCCGTGGCTTACAACACCGAAGATAGTACCGTCTTTAAATGTCACGGTGTTGCCAAGTCTTGTTTATGTTTACTGAAGAAAAACAATGGCTGTCAATATTTAACCTTTTGGGAAGTTTGTCCAATACAGTGAACCACGCTTGCGATGAGACAGACAAGCAGTGGATTTTGCACCCTGTTGCTAAGCTAGGGCAAGGGTGGGGCAAGCTGTTAGCTCACAGCCACATGCTGGCCGATACATTATAGCGTCTGATGATGCTGTGCGCGCGCACAGGTTTCAACAAGTTATTGCTCTCCTCTCCTTGTGACGAACACAGAGAGACTTGCGACATGCATCAAGGGACCATCGAGAAGAACTGATTCCTTGACGAGACGCCAAGACCACAGTGCCGAGAAGAATGGTCGACAGGCGGAGCAAGGTGCCCGAACAGAATGTCCCAACCAAGCTACTTCAGCTGTCAGAAAATGAGCATGTGTTCAGCCTTATTGGGCACAGGCGCACGGTGAGTTTGTGTGTTGTGTGAGGGTGGCGTGGTGGAATGTGAGCACACCTGCTATTACACTTGAGTTGCTTCTTACTCTGAAAACGTAAACCGAATAGCCTTGGCACGAGGGCTCTTGTGTTAAGTATTACATGTACGGTTACTGTCATGTTACAGAATGTGCTCTGTTTTGGGGGGGAAATAATGTTTCGATTGTGCTCTGACACTTATATTTGTAGAAGTGAAAAGGATACAATGATGGTTATACTTTTCTAGCAGCTGTTGTGGTGCGGTCGGAGAAACATTTGCCAATACTCTGCTGGAACAAGGCCTTTATAATCCAACAGATGTTTATATATTTTTTAGGTACTAAAGTTGGCCCAGATTTTTCAGGTGGTTGTTGGTCTTTGACCACAGGCTTGATTGATCCTAATTGCTTTCATTGGAACTGTTTACATGTAGTGCTGCAGTACTGCACTAGTTAGCATGTTGTAGCAGGAGTAACACATGTTTGAGACGGTGTTTATTGTTAAAGCACATTTCTAGTACGATAGTATTTATACATCACAGCAAGTATAGTGTTACCGTATGTATATGCTTTGTACAATAGGTAGTGTCATATGCGGACTCTGTAAGCAAGGGATACGTTGGGCTACGTGAAAAAGCCCTTAAGCAAAGTTTCCGGGAATGGCTCTCAATGCATGCACATATTTAGATCTACAGTAAATCACAGTGCAACTATTGTTTTGAAGACATTTGAATTTGGATGCAGCAGAAGAAAATAAAACATAGATACAGTGTAGTAAAACTTCTCTTATCCGCGATGATGTGTGGAGATGCTGTTTGCGGATTCTCTCATCCATAATACACAGCCATAACGACTCCAGTCGTTCGTGAACAAAAAACATTGCTCAGCTGTGCCGGTCCAAACATTTCGTACGCAGAAATAGTTGTGAAAATGAGAAAATGTAGATGTAAAGTGGAGCCATATCGAAATAGGTAACGGCCGAAGCCTGCGATTTCTCATGAACCTGCTAGGCGGACAGGGCCACTACCAAAGCGAACTCGAGAGGGCATTTGGTCGACTCTTCCACGTTGACCAGACGTCTTGGAAACAGAGGGACATTGGCCACACTTTACATCGCCACACAACATGCTGATCGGCTAACCGTGGCAATTCCCTCCTCAGTGTGCCGTTCACAGCACTAGCTGGGTTGATTCAACATTGTCTTGCCAGGCATGCTGAGGAGAGACTTGCACGTATGTAATATTCTGTCTGCTACAGCAGAGGTACAAGGAGTTGCAATTAGATCTACATCTTTGCTTTACTGACCTGATCAAGGCATATGATACCATCAATATGCGAGGGCTTTGGGTTCTTCATGTTTTCGGGGTCCCTGACCATCTGTTTACAATCACTAAGAACCTTCATAATAGTGGACAGGCCCAGGTAAAGCTGCGTGGTCAGGAGTTGGAGCCATTTCCTGTTCACGTTCGGGTACGAACCGGGATGTCCTTTAGCTCCTGCACTATTGAACATATTTTTGGCTATACCAGAGGAATTTCTATCTGGTATGGATACAATGGCTGATTCATTCCCAGTGCAGTCAAGGGATGCCTCCTTATTGATCAAACATGTCATGTATTCTGATGATCTGGTTGTGTGTTGCTCACTGATAAGGAGTTGGAGACACTGCTGCCGAACCTGGAGCATGCATAGGTGGGGCCTTGCTATCAGCCCCACCAAAATAAAGCACCTGCCTGGGTATTTTATGTTTTCAAATATTCTACCCGAACTCCCCATGAGTGATGGAACAGTCGTGGAAAGAGTCGAAGGGTTCCGGTTTGGCACCACATGCCTCATTGTGATTCAGTTAAATGGCATTGTCTTTTCATGAACTATGTAACGCTGTGTGGAAGCTATATTGCCTATCGCTCCATACGAAGCTTCGGGTTTTCTTGGCCACAGTTATGCCCTCCCTTCTTTATACTTGTGAAACGCGCGGACACTTTTAAGGGAACATCTGCACCGGTTTGAAATATTCAGGCTGGCCAACCTACGAGCCATCCTGGGATTAACTAGGCTGGATTGTGTGAGATCACAGATCTTTTGAAAGACGTGAACACAGTCTCATCCGTGACCTCTGGCAGGACGAGGCTGCATTTGCTGGGTCATGTAGCACACGTGTCCAGCCACTGCATGGCCAAGTAGCTTCTGTTTGGCCAGGCTAGAGAATATATGGGCTTGCTGATGATTGGTACTGACGGTGTCAGTATGGTCCTCTGTGGAGGAGGCATGTGAAGGATGCTCTTAGGTAGTTGGAGGCAATCGCCCTCAAACAACAACAGAGTGCAGCGGAGCGATGCTCACAATGAGCGGATTGCCAGGTGGCTAAAAAGCAACGAGTTGGCACAGTGAGGAGAATAGGTGGTGTATCTGTGAAACATTTCGGTTAACCCATAAACACGTGGGTCTGTCTCCTGTCGGCGAGCCTTCGACACTTCACGTGGCCTCAAAGTGCATTTTGGTTGGCACACGCGATGTGGTAAATGACGACTGTTGTTGTTGCTGCTTGCGTTTGTTAGAGCGTGGGTCTGTGGTATTTGGGAGTGTGGTATTTACCACACACACCCACGCGGTGGTGTAGCGGTTAGCACGCTTGCGATATATGCACTCTGTAACCCGAGTTCAATTCCCTGTGACAATTATTTGAACCGGTTCTGAGCCTCAACTAGGTCGACTCGGCCTCAAATGAGTACCTGGTGTTGTGTGTAAGCATTGCCGCTAGGGAAACAAAGGCGGCCGGGCGTGGTGCTGGTCACCCATCCCCCTCATGTGCCATGTCAGCCTTCTTTCGGTGCTCGCGAACGGCACTTGCCCCAAAAAGTCTGTTCAGGCTATACGGGGGAACTTTGTGTGCGGGACGTACCACCTGTAAGTCCGCCAACATCGTCATCAAAATCCACATGGGTGGAAAAAACCCCGATTTTTCCAGCGGCAGGCATCGTTTATTTTTCTTTAATACAATTAAACCCGATTTCGGGGAATTAAAACCTGGTTTAATGAATACGAAACTCTGATCCAAGGCTTAGGCTGCTTCCTCGTCGGTGCTGCTATCGTACTCGGGGCCGCCGTCGGGCACGGGGTAGTCGTAGAATGCGGCGGGCAGGTTGGTCGTGATGAACACGAGGAGCTTCTCCACAATCGTGGGCGCCAGTGAGTTCCTTGGCTTGGATCTTGGAATGGATGAAGCCCATCGTTGAGAAGTTGGCGAAGTGCGGTTCTGCAATTTGAACCAATTAAACCGGATTTCTCCCAATCTCAGCGGGTTTAATATAAAAAGACAACTAAATCCGATTGTAAAAACCCCGACTGTGCCACCCTTGAAAATCCATCGTCGTTGTAAAGGTTCCCTCCAACCACCCAGCCACCAAGACCATGTCAGCACAGGAGCGTTTGGGTGCGACATATACGTAGAACTTTATTTTTAAACAACACGTCGCAAGAGCATGTAGTCATCATCAAAAACCATTGTCAATTTAAAGCTTCCCTCCAACCACCCAGTAACCGAGACCACGTCAGCACAGGACGTGTGTGGGTGCGGTGTGACTTTTAATTTGTTAACTGGCAAAACAAGAAAAAAAATACCTGAATCTTTCGATCAAAATGGACACGGCTATGCACGGCGACTGCGAAAGAGTATTTACATGAATCAAGATGTATTTTTCGATTTAAAGCTTTCGTGACTGCAGGGATTCATCAAGATGTATTTTAACAAATCAGGATCACAATAAAACGTTGAATGACAGCTAAATAAATGTTAAACTAACGACAAAAACCTCCTAAACAATACCGGTGCTATGGACCGAGAGCCACCTAAGCCGCTTTCAACAGGCCACGGTTGCCAAACCGGCTCCCAGGGAGATCTCGTGTGGCTCTTTCGAGAAACAGACAACAGACCATGTAACTTTACTCGAAACAGGAGCAATGTGAAATTTCGATTTAAAGCTTTCGTGACTGCAGGGATTCATCTTCTTGGTTCTTTCGGCAAAGTCACGTAGAAGGTAAATAATAAAATAAAACAATTAAATAATTCTCACGACGTTTCGGCCACAACGCAAGCAGCCGTCCTCAGCTGAAGAACACGTCTGTCGGAAAGACAGCGTCTGAATGAATTTCACGGCTGCTTGCGTTGTGGCCGAAACGTCGTGAGAATTATTTTATCATGTTTTATTTTTTATTATTTTATTATTTCCCTTCTACGTGACTTTACCGAAAGAACCAAGAAGAGAAGCAATGTGCTGCACCGTGATCAAGTGCAGTGGGAGCTAGCCAGGTGGCTTGCATGACCACTCTACATTATACCCTGAAGTGACCAGGGCAGTGTTTAGTGGCTCTTGGCAATGTGAAGATGTTGGCATGCGGCTCCTAGGGTAAGGAAGTTTGGTATAAATCGGATTAACACTTTACATTGATGAAAAGCACAGGTGGCTTAGAAGACTGAAGATGTAGTCCAGATTCAAGGGGATAAAAGGGCCCGTGGTATAAAATATTTTTAAAATGGCACGTGTTTTTATGCTTCATACATGACAGATTCCTATACACAAGTTTTAAGTTACTCACCACAGGGGGTATATGTGTTATGCAACCATTGACTGATGATACATTCCAAAGCACATGTTGAAAGTGATTGAAGTTTGTACTGTAATTTCACTGTAAATTTAAAAATACCTGTAAATTAAAATGATTTGTAATGCATGACAAATGAAAAAAGGGCTAAGCTATAGAATTAGCAGGCCTCCAACAGAAATGAAGGTTGACTGTTGCCCTTTGTTCAGACTGTGTTTACACACATTATTTGCTTTTCTGGGTAAAAAAAAAGTTAAGCGCTTACATAAACGTTCACTTGTAAAGATAGTGGTTGGGGACGTTCAAACATTATCTGTAGACGCCTTTCGTATGGCATTTGGAAAAAAGCAACAGGCTACAATTGAATGCTTACTTTTGTAAGCATCCAGGG